ACAGAAAGCATACAAGATGGTGCTTATCGATTTCAGTCGATAAACAACCAGAATTTATCTCTTCACTTTTTTCGCACATTTTTTCTTTTACAACAACCAATTTTTTAGTGTACCAGATTTTCCCATTTCAGTTCCTCTCCTAATCAGTATCGCTGTCTTTCATTTAACTCTTAACAAGAACTAATATTTACGTGTTGAAAAAACGTGTAAATTTTTTATTTAACACTAATTTATTGCCAGTAGGCTTATAGAAGAAAAATTTATTTGATAATAACTTCTACTCGATTAAATATTGATCGCAAAAACTGCAAACAAAGAGATGCATTTACTCGACCGGATGTAAGCAAAAAGAAAAAAAAAAAGAAACTCAAGAAGCTCTTTAACCGCGCGTGCCTAATGAACTGTTGAGCTGAGGAAGGAAGAAAAGTAAGGGCAGTTTAAAAGATTAGTGTAAGAAGATTGAGGAGCCACGCAAAAAAACTGAAAAGCAGCAAAATTGTTGAAGGTAAAACAAAATTTTTTTCTTCCTTGAATATGTCTATACATTTCCGGTTCCACTATATTGCTCACAATAGCAGCAATCAACTAGCCATGTAAAAACAAAAAAAAGGAAAAAAAAACAGACGGCAGCAATGACAATTGGAACTATGATGCAAAAATTTCTTGTCTATTTGTGGCTATCAAACTAACTACACTAACCTACCATTAGCATTTATTTCTTCCAATTCTTTTATTGTCTAATTGTCTCATCTAACGTAGAATTATTGCAATGATAACTATTTTTTATATACAATTACAAAACGCTAAATGACTGAAGCATATAGGCAGAATATGATAAACACGTTCTTGAGTAGAAGAAAAAAGAAAAAAAGAAAAGATAGAACTGCTTTGAAGTAGATAATCTATAGGAAAAGTAATTAAAGATTGATCATTAAGTGAACTTACTTGATGAACAAACAGGAGTCAAAAACGCAGTTGGAATATGAACCTTGATCAAAGGTTACCTGACGGCTTGGAAGCTGCTCAGCTGTCGAGAACTGAAGTTACTGATGAAAGTCTGTCACCTGTTGGTAAAGCATTTTTAGACAGAAGTCGCTTAGACTGGCCGTATCACTGTATTAGGCACGTCGCCAACCGAAGTCATAATGTTAGAAAAAAATATATATACTTGTTAGAAATTTGGGATATAGTTGGTACGCTCCTTACGCTAATATTTAACAAGTGATATTAGTCAGTAATTGGTGATGTTTCGATCAAAAAAACTTGCTAATTGTAATTACAAATTAGAATTGACTAGATTTGGTCGCTGTCGTTATCACCTATATCACTGGTTATTTTTGCTTAAATTTTTTACAACTATACCTGCCCAGTAATTGCAGATTCATGTAAGAACTTAATAAATCAGCTATCTGTTGTATATGGATAGAAGTGCTAAAATTGTGATTGGTTGCATGTAGTTAAGTTGACATGTCCGATGAGGAATATCCGCTAAAACTTAGCTTAACAACGCACTTTTTGAACAGCTTCTCGGAAACACTCACAGAGCACAACTCGTTTTACTAAATTTTTTCTTGGCAACATTTTTAGCAACGTTTTATTTTTTTTTTTCTCACACCACGGTTAATGATTACAAAAGAGTTTAATGCCAAACAAATTTCTGTCGCAAATGTCCACATATGGTTTGACTAATTCTTCTAAAATTTCTGACCCACTAACAAGTAAACGCCCTTTGAATAGTTGTTTTGTTTCAAAATATTTTCCATAACATCACTTCTGATAGGCTGCCGGTATCCGCTGTTTCTTCCAACAGGCTGAAAGTTTTAGTTCTTTTAACAACTACAGTGCATTACTTTTTTCTAGCGGCTTTCTTTTTCTTACTTTTTCAGATGTTTTGGTAATCATTTTTACTTCGAACTGTAATCCTTATCTTGTTCGGCAGGCATACCTGATAAATGTTTGATATTACAGCTGGCAGGAACGATGCAGAAAAGTTTGTGGTCCGCTGGTGTTCGCTTTATGTTAAATGGGGAGATCCCGTTAACACTGTATAATTCTGCTCGCTCAAAACTACGGGTAGCTGTTGCGGAAGTTCCGGGGCCCATGGTCAAAGGGATCTTGTCATTTGGTTAGTGGTAGGCTAGCTAGAACTTCAACTTTCGTTGTGGGTTTACTAACCGTAGGAGAACCATTGGGCAGGATAAAATCAGATTTTTAAATTTTTTTCGTGTTGTTTTCATTGCAAGACTTTCGTTTTTGAGATTATAGATAATTGGAGTTTACCATGAAACGACCTAGTTAAATATTTCTTCTGTTACCTTTTACTGCTTGCTTTAATTCTACTATGATTTTTCATTTAATTCTGTTATCGGACTTCTGTAATTTACTGATTCCTTTTTCAAACTTTATAAGTAAAATCCGTAGCTTTTCAGTCACTGAAACGCACACCGATGACGGTTTGCCTCATACACTGGAGCATTTGGTGTTTATGGGCAGCAAAAAATATCCTGTAAAGGGAATTTTAGACATAATTGCAAACCGTTGCCTCGCTTCTGGCACAAATGCGTGGACAGCCCAGGATCATACAGCCTATACTCTCACCACTGTATTTTTATGTTCTTAGAATAAGTTTTCTTTACTTTTACCATTTCCACGTTTAACTGTTGTTGCAGTGTGACGTTTTAGTGTTTTTTATATTTCATTTTAAGGTTGGAAGTGAAGGTTTTTTGAAAGTTTTGCCAGTTTACATAGACCATGTTCTGTCGCCAACTCTAACTGTAAGCCTTTCAATTTATTCTATATTATAGACATAACCTTTATGTTAATTTTTAAATTTTTTATGATTTTCAAAAGATTTTGGAGTGGCACGATTATTTTCTAGCTTTTACCCAGTTTTTGTTTTGTCGTATTAATTGCAGCCTTCCATTGCAGAATGAACAATTTATAACAGAAGTACATCATATTAATGGAGACGGTAAGGATGCCGGAGTTGTGTACAGTGAAATGCAGAATTATGAATCAAATATGGAAGAAATGGTATCCCGTAAAAGGAAAGAACTTTTTTATCCTGAAGGTGGGTAAAATTTAAAGCAGTTATTTATTAGGATTGATTTTAATGTTCACAGTAATTAAACCGTAGTATTTCGATCATTACTATTAATTTTAGGGAATCCGTATCGGGTGGAAACAGGCGGTCGTTTGGCTGCTCTTCGAACAACATGTAGTAATGAAGCGGTCAAGAAGTTCCACTCAGAGTTTTATCGCCTAGATAATATGATGATTGTTGTGTGCGGTACGGTGAATCATGGGAGGCTCCTAGACATAATAAGTCCTTTAGGTTAGCTCAGTTCCAACTACAGGTCATTGTTGTGGTGGGGTCGATATTTGTTTGAGAGACCAAAGTGTTGATGGGACATTTCCGAATGAAACGATGCGATATTAAAATTACCTGTCGTGCTAAACATTTTGAATTTAGTAATATGACTAATATAAATGCTTTTAACTGGATAGACGTATGCTGTAGTTTCACTTTGAATCTTGTAAATGTTATTTGCAGAAGAGGAATTATTAGGCAAAATGAACTCTTCATTTTTAAAACCATTTACCGATGAAGTAAAACCGATTGAAGGAGCACACGAGGCTTTTATTGAATGTCCTTCGGACGATGATGAATTTGGAATGGTTCATATGTCGTGGGTTGGTCCACCAGCTAAGGTAAGACCTTTTTAATTAACGTGACATACTCAGTTTGTCTTGCAGTACGTGATCTCTGGTTTTCAAAATTTAGGATATCTACACTTTGCGAGCACTAGACATACTTTTCGAGTATATGCAGAGTACAGCTGTAGCGCCGCTGCAAAAGGTATTTATTCAGTTAGCATCGCCATACGCGTGCTCAGCTACTCTAAGCGTTGAAGAGCAAACAACTTCGGAAATACTGTTAACATTTTGCGGTGTCCCAGTGAATAAATTAAAGGATATTAAAGGAAGGTAGAGTCTTTTCTTAAGGTGGTCAAGAAATTAAGACAATTTTAAGAATTATGAATTTGACTGTATTAATATTAGCTCTGTAATTTTTGTTCACTTATAATCTTCTGATGTTTTACGTATGCTACCCCGTCATAGGTTCTTTGAGCAAGTTGTTGCAAATCATACGAGTCCTAATGGATTTGATATGGAAAGGCTCGGTTTCATTATTGACCAGTCAATATACGAAACTTACGCAAAGGTCTGGTATTTCAATATTCTTCTTTTGCTGTTAAAAAACAGAGTTTGGTAACCTGATATTGAAAGATAGGAATCAAACATTACGCGAACTTTTCAAAACCGTATATGATTATAGTTTTCTTGATTTTTTGAGTAGTTTTTTTGCTTCTTAAAGGTATTCTATACTTGTTTTTAAGCTTTATTAAGAACTTTATTTAAATTTGGTGAGGTTCAGTGTCCAGAAATATTAAAGTATTATGCATCTTCTTTATCTATAAAAATTACTTGCTAGTTTTTTTACTTTGAAAGGACGGAGCGGAGAGGCACTCTTGAGTAGTTTTTATTTTTCCGTCTTTTTTTTGTTTATAACAAGTCCAGAGCGTTACGCAATTCAGAGTAACAATTTTTATTAAAAACTGCATTCAGAACAGTCAGAAAAATTTTGTGGATGATTGAAACGATAGAGTTTTTATTGCTTATCTAGTTGTTATTTTCTATGCTCTTTAGTTTCTCTTGTTTTAGATGGAAAGTTCTGGACATGAGGAGGTTTTTGACCTTATGATTCTTCACCAAATTTATGGCCAAAACAATGAGGATTTGTCAGAAAGACTAAGTGAAGTTGAGGATTTAAAAAGGTACTACTAAAATATTTGAAGAATACATATCTTGCGCAGTCAAATTGATGTTACGGGAATTGTAGGAATTTCCATTTAGTGGTAAACTGTTAAACTGTGATAAGAAGTCAAATTCTGGGACCTCTGAGTGCGTAGTCTCGGTTAAAGTTGCTTTTTATAAGCCCTCTTCACTTTCAGGCTGAAAAATGAATCGGGAAACTTTTGGGCTGATTTGGTTCGAAATTATTTTAATAATAATTATGTGTGCGTAATTGGCAAACCATCTGAAGAAAAAGTTGAAGAGTACGCATCGATGGTATTTCTTGTTTCAGTTTTCAGTAAAACAGTCTAATCTTATTTAATAATCTGTTTTAGAGTCAAAAACGAATCTAAATTATGCGGTATACGGTTAAGTTTATTTTGGAGTCATGCTTGACGTTTATATTTTCATATATATTATGTATATATTTATTTATTTATTTATGTTTCTCATAGGAGAAACAGCGTATTGAGCAACAGCGCAAAAAACTGGGCGAAAAGGGGCTTCAGGAGCACGGGAAATTGTTGAAGGCCGCTGTGGAAAAGAATTCCGTACACTTTTATATATCTCAAAATTTTTTTCCATTATTTTTATGAAAAATTTGTCTCCTGATTTTCCAGATGCACAAGCCCTCTTCAGAAGTCTTAAATAACCTTTTGGTACGAAACTTAGAAAAATTTAATACTTTCAATATCTCGCTGCTGAAGAATTTTGACGACAAGTCAGATCAACAGCTTCGGTTTTTGGGGAATCTGAATGCCTCTGCATTTGTATATTCCACTTCGACAAAATTTATTGATGTATGTTTTACATGATTTAAGTAAACTTTTCCAATCAAACTTCTCCAGATTGATAAAATATAAACTTGGTTTCTTTTATCTGTTTTGGCGTGGGGAGGAAAAGTAAGATAAAAAAGTGAAAATCTGGAGGTATTGGGAACTGATAACGGAGGAATAATGTTAAGTTATTTTTAGCCACTTCTACTTGAAAATTTTGAACTTTTGAGTAGTTGTTAGCAGTTGTACGTATTTCTGAAACAAATGTAGAAAAAATTCTAAAACCGTGGTTTTTTTATTAAAAAAAAAAAAAAAACGAGAAAGCATGACGGGTAAAAGTATCAGAGAACAGAAGACCGCGAAAACTCGAAAATAGTACGAGATGAATCCCCGAAGGCTATTTGGAAGGACGTCGAAAAATACTGCGAGAATTTTCTTCTCAAGAATTTTTTAGCGCTAGATCTTTTGATAAGTAGAAGCACTCTTCAGATGAATTATTTGGGCAAAAAATTTCCTCATTTTCCTAAATTTTTCATGTCTAACGAGTTTTTTTGCCTTGACATTTTTGTATACGTAAACAGTCTGGTGTGTAGAAGGTCTAACAAGTCGTAAGAAACAGCAGTAACGCAGTAAACAAAAGCTCTTTTGACGGCACGAATCTTACTCGCGTTTTTCTTACAAAAACCAGTTGATTTTCTACTCATACCGTAATGGCGTGAAGAAAATTTTCAGGCTTAGGCTTTTATGCTGGGCGTTTGAGATCAGGTTTTGAAGGAAATAGCAAACTAACCCTGTTTATGATTTTCCACTCCTGCCTCTAAAAGTGTGACTTAGGCGAACAGAGCTTTTTTTACGCATTTGACTTTACTTGTTACAGTTTTACTTTTTAAATTTCTCTTTTGAGCAAATAGCCTTCATTTGTTTATGATTTAGATTCACTTCATTTGGGATACGGAAGTAATACCTTTTGAACAGCGTCTTTGGTTCATGCTTTGGTTTGAGCTCATGTTCGAAAGTCCTGCTGTAGTGGATGGCAAGGTTATTTAATGAATCATCCATTAACACTTTTTCTAGGGCGAACACGGGTTGTTGAAAATTTTAAACTTTAGAACCTAACGTATGAGGAAGTGACGAAGTTATATACCCGTGATATACTATCGCAGTGTGTCGGGCTTGGCGTGACATCTAATTTCGACCAATACGTTTCTTTGCAGTTGAAGGTGTCATTATGATTTTTCAAAAGCTTGGAACTTCTTAAAAGCTAATCGGGTAGCTTGCAGTTTACACGTAAAGCTCCGAACTTTCCGTATTATAGCGGTTGATAAAGACTGCTCCTAGATTTTTTATACTTGGAGGTTAACATCAAAAATCACGTCGTTTGTTTTAAGAAATTAAAGGGTGCTAGAATTTACGTTCCTGTATATTCAAAGTTCTGCGATTTTGATGAACTGAAGAAGTTTTTTGGAACATCTTTAATGGTTCTTTTTTTGGTTAAAGAGCAACGTTTAAATAAGTGCTTGTAGGAAAATTCAAAAGTGTTTTAGGTCTGCGGCGGAAATGAGCTTAACAAGCGTTTGCAACTAACTTTCGAAATATATCTGTATACCTGCTTTTTAAAAATATTTTCAGTCTAGAATTTTAGATTTTACGACAGTATCGCTGTAAAATTAATACGGTAAAGAAACTGTGGGATACGTTTTAATTGTATGGAAGTCTTTGTGACTCTGTTGCATTCGTTTTTTGTTTTGCTTTAAAATTTTCTGTTTTTTAGAATTGGTCAGTTTAAAAATTTTGATGTTTTATAAGCAGGATATTTTACTAAAAAAGGAATTGGTATATCAAAGATCTGAAGAATAAGTCTTTAGACGCGTTTTTTTAAAGCCTTAGTGGATATTTACTATACATATATATGAAATTCAATCATTGAAAATTTGCTTGTGTTTCTTCCAGGTGCCCTACGAAAAACTTCCCATGCTATCTAAATGGGCAAATATATTTCTAAACGGGGTCATCTTTGATGCAGAAAGAGCACTTGTAGCAGCAAAGAAGCTTGTAGCACGTGCCATTGAGTTGAAGCGCGATGGATATACTATGTGCACGATACTACACAAGAAAGCTATATATGAACCTTGTAAGTTCCGATGTCTAACGAAATATAAATAATTTTCAGTCAATCTTAATATCTCTTATAATTTCTTTTTGTTTTTCACATCTGTATATAAGTTGTAACGGTCTATTTTGCATGTAAATGCATTGTCCTTTTTTTTTTGCAACAGCGAGTAACAGTTTCTACTTTGTTTCAAAAAATTAATTGCAGATAGTAATTCTTACATGTTTGGTGCTGTACAGTTGGAGAAGTTTCATAATGAAGTCATCAAGCGGCTTGAAGACAACTCCACTTGGGTTTGACTCTCTCCAAACACTTACTATGAAAGGTTTTTTTAAGAAATCATATTAGTTTCTTTGTTGTTTAGGCCTTGGATCAACTGGAAAGATTGAGGCGTTCATTGTTAGTTTCCCCTTTAACAGTTCACATGCTCTGCGACTACAAACTACTTAACGCAGATTCTTATAAAACAACCTGGTCATTTTTACACGGGTCGCCTGTACTGCCAGAAGATGAAATGTTCAAGGCAAGTTTTTTTTTTGCTGGGACTATTGGAGGTTTTCTCACTTAGTTTCTCTTTGACACATTCATTTCTTGATTCTGTAAAAATTCATCAGGAACTTTTTTTATTGTATGAGGTGAGTAATTTATACAAACTCTCTTTTTTGGACGTCTGACGCATTTTTTTCGTCATTTACTTGTAAAACTTGTAATTTTTCAAAGATATTTCTATGTCAAAAGTTGCAAAAAATATATACGTTTCTGAAACAAGCAGAGAAGATTTTTATCAAGCCCAGATTTTACTTTTTTTTTTATTTTTTTTTACTTTTTTTTTGATTTTTTTTACTTTTTTTTATGTTTTTTAACGACTTACAAAGCCACAAACTCAACAAAAAGTTTTGATCGCGTTAGGATTGGAAAATGACATATTTTGGCAGGGTAAAACGATTCAGAAAATTTTATTTTTGTTTAAGCACTCTTTGGCTTTCTGTGTCTAAGACTACACTATGAGAATATGGGAGAGTTGATAAAATTATGGTTCTTAATTTTTATTTTTTAAATACCACAATTTTGTTAACTTTTTATCTTAAATCCTTTTAATCTTGTTGGCTGGCGGAGCTCAACTCGTAATTCAGAAAACTTGAAAAAAAGATATTCTTGTCAGATTCCACCCTTCAGAGCTATAAAAACTGGCAGTAGTCGGTTGAATGCGTTTATTTGCCAGAAATTCTACTCTTTCGTTGCCCTAACAAAATTGAAAGATTTGTGGTTTATTTTTCAGTCGGTTTTTCGCACTTTTTTCAGGGTGATTAGAAAAAATGGCCATTTTGCAAATAGCAAATATTCAGGCCATTAGTATCGAGAAATAATTTTTTGAATTTTCAAAAACCTCAGTGTATAAAATTTCTTGTTTCGTAACGTATTGAAGATAATTAGATTCTGAGTGGAGTTATAAAATACTAGATGGAAGATAAGATAAAACCATAAAAACTACACTGAAAAGCGTCGTTTTTATGTTCGTGCAGCCAGTTGACCGGCTTGTCAAATCAGCTGAGTTTAGAGGCGGAGTTTTCCAAATTTACCTGACTCTCCATCTAACAACATGCAACTCTGTGAGATTTGTAACTTCGAGTGTCGTTGCATTGTGAAGCATGAGATTGAAAAAGCACAAAAGCTCCGAGTAACGCTTCTTTAAAAAATTAAATCAATTGTTTTTTAAGAGCAAAAACGTTTTTCTCTTGTTTGGGCAGTGACCCTATTCTTTAAATTGAAAAGAAGATCATTTATTTAAATGTAAAGGAAACAGCTAGTATATGAGTCAAAAAACCTCAGATTTTTAAAGGTGCATAAGACTAAAAATTTTTAAAAAGACATAGTAAGTCAAGGTTTTACGATTTCTCAACTTTGATGATTATAACTCAGTAGGATTAACTTGTTTGCTTCTGTTTTGGACGTCATAAATTCAGCTTTCGCAACTAAACAAAAAAAAAAAAACGAAGGTTTCAGTTGAAGAAATTATGAGTTTCTGGATAAGATGACACATGTGTACAATGCTCTCTGCTGGAAGATTTTAAATTTTCCTTTTGCTATTGTACTTTATGAATGCACTTCGCCAAGGTATTTTTTGTTTCTAGAGCGCTCGTAAGGTCATGTTTCGTAAGGATCGTGCAGGGAATCATTTACTTGCTAGTGTGGGGTCTTCTGAGTCCTCTTTTTTACATCAGGTTTCTTCTTATTTTTTATGAAGTCGTTATTCTTTTTCGTTTAGTGCCCTTACAGTATTGCAGTTCACGCTGAAGTGATGCTTTAGAGTTTACTTTTCGATTTCGACTGGAACAGTGAAACTTTGATGTCTGTGATGTTATTGGCACAATATCTTTCCCAGACTGAGGGGCCGCTATACCGAGGAGTCCGCGGTAAGGGGCTAGCGTATGGCTCCAACATTTATGTTCGTCCTGACAAAAAAATGATTTCACTTTCCATATATCGTAGCGCTGATCTGATTCGGGCTTATGAACAGTCGAAGAAAATTGTGGTAAATTTAAGCGAACTTTTTGTTATTCTTATCAATAATATACATGTGACTCTGTTCTACTCTAAAGCTCCATCATTTAATGAAACAGAGTCACATTTATTAATATTATTGTTTATTAGCTTCGTTGGCTGAGAAGAAGAAAATGGAGCCACCAAATTGAAAGATTTCTACTTATGTACCTTTATTTACTAGTATAGGATTTTGAGCCAGCTGATAATCTGATCCACTCACTGTAGTTTTACTTATTTGGACTTTTTTTCACTGCGAAAAAATTTTGCAGGTTGAAACCTTGACGAAGGGGAAGATAAATGGAGATGAATTTGAAGCCGCGAAGAGAAGTCTTGTTTGTGAACTTGTTGAGGCTGAGGATACTGTTAAATCGGCGTTTAAACAAGCAATTTTGGCACAGTTCCGGCGACTTGATTTAGATCACTCAAGGTATTTTCTTTTCGGTTTGTTGATAAACTTTTGATCGTTATTTTACACTGTTGTTTTTTTGTAGAAAGTTGTGCGAGGAAGTATGGAATGCGACTGTTGACGAAGTCTTAAAGCTAGGATCTTCACATCTTCTGCGATTGTTCAGTGAAGAAGAATGTTCTAGAGCTATTGTTGTGAATCCTGTTAAAATGAAAGAAACTGAAAAACACTTCCGAAATATACGTGTTACTACCTTAGATAATGTTTCTTCCGAGTTTAGTAATTTAAGTTGGGGTATGAACTAATTTTTTTACACGGTGAAAAGCCTAACTTTTACGTGGATTTAATGCACTTTTTGTCGGTGTTTTTTTTATTCTTAATGTGTCGATCTCGTTTTGGCTTACTCGACTAGAACTGGATATTATAGAGCATGCTAGATTTTTACTGAATTTTTGTGAAATTGTCTTTTCAAAATTTTTTTAAAATATAGCTCAGCTGCTGGTTATTAGTGTTTGCTCTTGAAGCTGGTTGGATTTTAGGGGGGTGTCATTTGAAGTCACTTGGACTTTTAATGGTGGTTGTTACTTCTTATACTGGAATATAAAATGTAATTTGTTGGTTGGTGTTGATTATTTTTCTCCTCTTGTAAATAGGAAGATTTTTTCTTAAATTGTTGGTTATATTCCTCTTCTTAAGTTAGGAGATGTTTTGTGTGCATTTATGCTGAGATGAGGCCTTTTAAAATCTTCAGTTTTCATTAGTAGAAACTGAGGTGCTACCTTTTTTCTCTGTTTTTTGAACTGTAGGGTTTTATATTGATGGCTGCTCATTTTTAGTTGCTTAATTCCTGGGCTTGACTCCTTTGTAGTAATAGACACTTGCCAAGTAGTAATGCAGAGTTGATCGTCAAAATTGGGGTTGTGGTTTTTGAGGATTCATTGAATTTTGCTTATTAAGAACGTAGTACTGTCAACACGGCTATGCGGTTTTTGGTCAAAACAGTTGTGAAGTAGCTGTGTTTTACATACCCAATTTATTGCCACCCGTTGCTAATGGTTCTCGTTCCAAAAAGAAAGTTCAGACAGACTGCTAGATTTTGAGGTCAAGACAGTAATTCGGTATGCTGAGGTGCATGCAGTTTCCATTTCTCATGCGGAGGTCCTTTGATTTTGGTGGAAGTGTTTTCTATTTTAGAGTCGTCTCGAATTTACTGGAGGGTTTGTTCTACTCATATTTCAAACTGCGGTCGGTTTGTGGCTGGTTTTTGCTTGCATAAATAATTGTTCTGCACTGAGGGCCTGAAAGGTCATGATGTACTCGAATTTTTGGAGAAGCCAAATGTTTCAGAAGTTACCAAGAGATATATTTGGTGACTTACTCCACATTTTTTGGTTGTTTACTAGAATAATTCTTCTTATGTTAAACTTTCCCATCTATATATCAGCCTCTGAAACTGATCTGAACACATTTTTCTGAGAGGTTGTGTGACAGTGAGGAGTGTTAAAATGAAGTGTTTTGAGAAGATTTCCAATTTAGTCAATCAGGAATCCATAATATTTAGTTGCACCTATACTTTGTCTTGCCTCCTGCTTTGTTGATAGGCGAAATGACAGATGAACAGTAGATTTAGAGGATTTATTTGTTATTTCATCAAATATGTACACAACATGCAATTTTGTTCACATTGTTATTGGTGAAGGCGAACAGCATAATTATTAATCCCCTCGTAAAACAAATTTCTAAAATCCCATTTGTCTTATCTAAACTAATAGCAACTAAAAATAGTTCCCAAAGGTATCTTCCAAAGAAAAAAGCTAACGAAAGAGGCCTACAGAAATGCGTGGTTTTTTGAGCTATTTTACCTATGAAAATTCGGCTAACAAAATTAAACATTTTTTCCATTCCCCACATTTTATGAGCGAAATTATTTAGTTCCAGTAGCTGATAAAAATGTTTTTTAATTCTCATATTCCTGCTTTAAAACTATCAGATTACAGCAACGAAAGTTAAAAAAAAAGCGAAAAAAAAGTTATAAAAGCGAAAGTTAGTTTTTGGAGATCACAGACAGACTAAGAAACATGACAAAAAATCCAGCACATAGTCATAAAGCTGTACAGTAACCGCGTAGCTGCCGTCCATTAAGTTTTCAATGGCAAGTTTATTAAGTACACGGCTGACCCGCTCCTGAAGGACGTCAACATTGATGATACTCGGGGACCGGTTGTTAACCATGTGTTTCACGGGAGTATGCGACAAAAGGGAGAAGGAAGAAAACGCCATCAAACAATGGAAGTTATTGGAATCGGCTGAAACTTTATGGCGGCGGAGTTCGGTAACCAAAAACCAAATGAAGAAACCAAATCATACAGCGTAGAGCATGCATGCCAAAAAAGAAAGAATTTCAAAAGTTTTGATTCTGAAACCAGCAATATGTAAACTCTATTCGTAGTCCAGCAGTTGCACATTGTTTTTTTTTTTTTTTTTTTTTTTTTTTTTTTTTT